AATGACAGGCACTCCCAGTCTCCTGTCACTTTTCACCTTAAACATAACCTTGTCCTGGGCTCTAGGGTTACAATCTGAGGACAGTGCTGAAGGCACTGTAGTTCAGTGAACTACAGTGGTGCTCAGCACAGTGAGACACACATGGAGAAGCAAGACACAAACATTCATTTGTCTGGGCCTAGGTGTAAGCCCTATCCTGTGGAGTGGGTCCCATGACCAGTCACTGTTGCCATCCTGATGTCGACTCTCCACAGACAAGAAGGTGAAGGGAAGCATCTGCCTTCATTTGTGTCCTAGTTAGAGTCAGAAAAGTGGAGATGTTTGTCAACTATTATGATAGAGATTTTTAAAAGTACGGAATTCAAATATTTTATTCCTCCATTAGTTGTATTTGCTTGTAAGACTATAGTCAACAGGTCTCCAGAGAGAAGCATTCTCCGTGATGTTGTCTATAAAACTTAAATCTAAGTGAAATAACTATCCATCCATATTTTTTAACTATTGGTATATTACATTTCATTTGAAGGCAATGCAAATTCAATGTATAATTTTAACAGCTATGAAATAGTATATATATATATATTTGGAAATAATTTCTACTCTAACATTAGGTTAACATATTTTCTCCTAAAAAGATATGCTGACATGATAAATCCAAGTACCAGTGAATGCGATCTTTTATAAAGCTGTAAGTACCATTTTAGATGTCTAGTCAAAGGCTTTCATGCTAAAGTACAATGATTCCTCTCTGAGTTCATTAGATGATTTTGAGAACACAGGGATGCAGTGATGGATTGCCATGTGAACCTGATATAAGTATTGGCCTTTGTGGTTGCTGACCAAATGATCACCAAATATTTGCCCAAACAACAGAGACAAAGAGGGAAGGAAGAGGTGCAATAGGGTGCTTGGCTTAGCATGTTCAATTTGCAAGTCTGTCCTTCAAAAACTGTTGGAGACCGTCTCCGGACAGCTGTGTCTTGAATTTTGTGTGACCTTCCTTACTTTATCAAACCTTGCAAAAACAGGTTCCTGGCCTAACCTCAGGCTGTACAACTTCCTGGAGTACGTGCTAATCAGCCAGCTGCAGGGGCCTGGTACCAAAGCGACCTCACCCTTCCTTAGGAATTTTCCATTCTTCTCTCCTTTTGCTTCCTCTGCTCCCCCTCCCTGCCTGAAGCCCTGCTTATAAGCCTCAATACCTAGTCAATAAACGAGACCTTGACACGACTCAGACTGACTCTGTCTTCCTTTTATGCGCCTGGTCTCCTTTCTCTCTCACCCCCATTGATCTTTCAGGAGGTGCCTCCTCGGGTCTCCCCAGTAACCTGGCCCACGGGACGTGTCAAAAAACCAGTGTGAGACAGCACAAGTCACTTGTGTTAGCCCATGTTGGTTGTTGTATGTTGTTCCTGTAATCCCCGGGAAGTAACAACCCAAATAACCATTTGTAAAGTGTCTCTGAATTTGCATTCATTTCTTTGATCTTGACTCATATTTTACTCTCAAGGATGTTGACATGATGGCTCATGTTTCTAGCTTTATGACTGTAACTAAAGTCTGAATTTAAACAATTTTCAGTCTTAACTCACAAATCTCTCTCTCTTCTTTTAATATTTTAATATTGTAAGCAATGGCACAGAAGTGCAGCTTCTAAAGACGCCTTTTCTTTAATGGTGTCCACCTGTGAATGTATGTTCATGTAAATACTGCCTTGTTATTAGAAATTCAATTTTGGATACTTAGTGAACTATATGACACTGAGGGACATGCCTGTCATTTATAGTGGGGAATCTTTAAAAAGTTAATCCTGGCATCTAATACACAAAATGGGACTCATGAAGTTCTCCTGCTGCAAATGTTGGTAGGAAACAGGGGAATCAGGAGAAGTTTGTAACCCAAATATCAACGGTTTGTAGCCTGTGTTAGTTCAATCCTTGTTAGAACTCAAGGTGCACATGGATCTTGTATCTGTGGATCAGAAGTGGGGCCTGACATTTCCTTCTCAAGAAATTCACATCAGTATTTGAATATCAACACTAATAAGAAGGGCATAAAATAAGGTAAAACCACAGGCAGACAGAATGCAGCAACAATACATGAAAGAATCAAAATATTTTTAAAATTCTTATATATTTGCATACTTATTTAATTATTTAGTATATGTGTGTGTGTGTGTGTGTATGTGTGTGCATGTGTGTGTTCATGAGTGAGAACATATATGTGTGTGTGTGTATGTGTGTGTGTGTGTGTGTGTGTGTGTGTGTGTGTATGTGTGTGTGTGTGTGTGTATGTGTGTGTGTGTGTGTATGTGTGTGTGTGTATGTGTGCGTGTGTGTGTTCATGAGTGAGAACATATATATGTGTGTGTGTATGTGTGTGTGTGTGTGTGTGTGTGTAAGAGAGAGGAGGGAGGGAGCTATTGGAGGACAACTTGCATAAGTCCGCCATTTCCTTCCACCATGCTTGTTCCAAGAATTGACTCACATTGTCAGACTTGGCAACAAGTGCAGTTATATGCTTAGTCATCGCACCAGTTAAAAGGTCTTGAAAAGGTTCTCTGTACAGTTCAATGCATGGCTTCTACTAGGAGCAAAAGAAGCCTTGCTTCCTTGCCTTGCTTCCTTTCTCTTTTTCTTCTTTCCTGTTGGGGGCCGACTCCGGACAGCTGTGTCTTGAATTTTGTGTGACCTTCCTTACTTTATCAAACCTTGCAAAAACAGGTTCCTGGCCTAACCTCAGGCTGTACAACTTCCTGGAGTACGTGCTAATCAGTTAGCTGCAGGGGCCTGGGACCAAAGCGACCTCACCCTTCCTCAGGAATTTTCCATTCTTCTCTCTCTGCTTCCTCTGCTCCCCCTCCCTGCCTGAAGCCCTGCTTATAAACCTCAATACCCAGTCAATAAACGAGACCTTGACGCGACTCAGACTGACTCTGTCTTCCCTTATTGCGCCTGGTCTCCTTTCTCTCTCGCCCCCATTGATCTTTCAGGAGGTGCCTCCTCGGGTCTCCCCAATAACCTGGCCCGCGGGACTGGTCACTTTCCTTCCTTCTTTTCTTTCTCTTCCTTCCTTCCTTCCTTCCTTCCTTTCTTTCTCTCTTTTATTCTTTCATTGTTTGTGCCAATTAACATTACTCTAAAGTGTTTTACTACTTTACTTAAAAGTTTTTACACAATATATTTTGATTATATTCTTTCTCTTCTCCCAATTCCCCTCAGATCTTCCCAGCTTCATAATACTCACCCAGCTTCATGTTCTTTCTCTTTCTCAAACAAAACAAAACAGAAAAATAACAAAAAAATATCGAAACAGACAAACTAAAAGAAGAAAATCAATCAGACAAAAAAAATAAAAACAACAAAAAGTGTGCTTGTGTGTGCATGTGCACACAAACATCCTAGACACACACACACACACACACACACACACACACACACACACACCATGGAGTCTGTTTTCTGTTGGCCAACTACTCCTGTACATTAGGCCTGCCTTAGAGTGTAGTTGGTATAGTTAGTGACACCCCGTGGGAGAAAAATGATTTTCCCTTTTCCAGAAGTTACCTATTACCATAACTTCATAGCTAAGTGTTGAATTTTTTTTCCATTTCTGTTTCTCAGTGCTGGGGTTTTTTCTGGTTTGAACCTGTACATGTCTTGTGCATTCTGTCACAGTCTCTGTGATTTCTTACATGAATCTTACCTGTTATGTCTAGAAGATGCTCTTTTGTTGGAGTCATCCACCAGCTCTCGCTCTTTCAATGTTTCTACCTTCTATTCTGCATATTTCCTGATTTGGATGAGAGGGGTTTGACAAAGAAAATTCATGTAGACTGTTTCTTTAACAATATATGAGTTAAAGCATGCCTCAGCAAACACTAACCTGGTGTCCTAGCTTTTTCCCAATTTCACCAAGAATTTCTTCTCCTATCTTGATTTGTTAATTCTTGTCTCACATTTAGGGCTGTACCCCTTACTGATCATCCATCCCCTAAAGCCTCAGCAGTTAGATAATGTATTTTTGTTGTTGCTGTTTTTTTCAGGCAGGGTTTCTCTATGTAGTTTTGGTGCCTGTCCTGGAACTCGCTCTGTAAACCAGGCAGGCCTCAAACTCACAGAGATCCACCTGGCTCTGTGTCCCAAGTGCTGGGATTAAAGGCATGCACCATCACCACCCAGCCTTAGATAATGTATTTTTATATCAGATGCATAGAAGGCAGGTTTCCATGGAAACCATCACACACAGTCATTCTTCATGATCCTCTCTAATCCTTAATTAAGGACAACCACAGGCCACTGCTTTATTTCACAATAAAGTTTGTGAACTTTTTTAGTGTCTATTATGCTTTGACTTGTGATTTTCTAAAAAAAAATATATATTTCTAATGCATTAAATGAGTCTGACACTATAATATTTATCCTCATAGTCACCAATATTCACCAGTAAGTCTCTATGGGTCAATCTGCTGAGGAACCTTGGAGGGGTGTGGCTTCTTGTACAATCTGAGAAGGAGCTCATGGAGGATATTATCTGTGTCCTCAGTCTGTATTGAAGAAGCCCCTGGATAAAGAGTTCCTCATAAATTCAAGTCTATATACTGTGCCAAGAGGAGGCAAGTCCTTCTGTCCTTGATGAGAAAGTGTTTAATGGACACAGCCTTAGGGGAAGTCTCATTGTCACAGACATAACAGACCTGAACCTGCTCAGTGGGGTCTGTAGGAGACACGGAAGAGTCTGGAGACTCTCAGCTGACAACACAAACATCTGTCTCTGTGTCTGCTCAGGACTCAACAGACCCAGCAGCTGGGGATAATGTGGTCCCTTGGGCAGCCTCAGGCAGGAAGTGATACCCAGGCTCTTGATGGCACACACTCCTAAGAAGGGATTTGGTTGACTAAGAAAAATTTGCATGAAGGCCCTGTCAGTTCTCTGAGAATTGTTAAAGGTTTAGAGAGACCTGCACCATGTCTGTCTCAGCAGAGCTCAGTGGTGTTTGCACCATGGCCTGGACTCCTCTCCTCCTCTTCCTCCTTCATTGTACAGGTCAGGAGTCATCTGCACCCTGATCCCAGTTCAGGGAAACCATCTGACAGCAGATAGATTCTCCTCTCTTCTCTCAGCATGGACATAATGTGTTTCTCTGTTTTCAGGGTCTTTCTCCCAGCCTGTGCTGACTCAGTCACCCTCTGCCTCTGCCTCCCTGGGAGCCTCAGTCAAACTCACCTGCACCTTGAGTAGTGAATACAGCAGCTACATCATTCATTGGTATCAGCAACATCCAGACAAGGCTCCTAAGTACGTGATGTATCTTAAGAGTGATGGAAGCCACGGCAAGGGGAATGGGATCCCTGACCGCTTCTCTGGCTCCAGCTCTGGTGCTCATCGCTATTTAAGCATCTCCAACATGCAGCCTGAAGATGAAGCTGACTACATCTGTGGTGCAGATTATACCATTAGTGGACAATTTGGGTGAACACATTGACCCAGATAAATGAGGAAGCAGGGCAGGAACTACTATGCTCTCTTGCTACCAAGATTGGACTATGATTTTGAGAAGGAACCTCTGAAGTTCTTAGCTACTACAGTTACTGGGGACAGATCATAGGTTTAGCAATTGCTCCCAAACTCCTGGGGAAAGTGGGGATTGTATAGAGTGCACAGCTCTGTAGTAGTAATGACCATGTAAAAGTTAAAACTGTACAGCTGAGGAGATGAAAATATTTTCCTTATAAACTGGAGAAGTGGATCTAAGGTTCTCATAATTACTCACCAAAGTTCATAGGAATATGTTTTTCATAAGATGGCTTTCTTGTCTTATGCTCTAAATTTTTTTCACTACAGCAAGTTCCCAAGAAGCACAGTGTAAGAACATTTAAGGTGACCCTGTTGTTGGAGCCCCCTATTGGCAGCAAAAAAGATAAATGGAAAATAGTTACCGGTCTGAGCATTGCCCTTGATGTATATGACTTCCATGTCCTTCCTGCAATACCCTCTTTACATAAGTTTACTCAGAGACTTTGAAGGAAGGACAAAGTAACCACCATGTCTTCCAAAATTCTTTTTTGAAAAATTTTTATTGATTAAATTTATACATTTATTTTACACCCCAACCACAGTTTCCCTTTCCTTCTTTCCTTCCATCCCCTCACCTACCCCACCTCCAGTGAACCCACACCTCCTCTGCTTTTGTTCAGAAAGGGACAGTCCTCCCATGGGTGTCAATAAAGCATGACATATCAAGCTGAGATAGGACTAAGCTCCTCCTCTCATATTAAGGCTTGGTAAGGTAATCCAGTATGAGTAATAGGTTCCCAAAAGCCTGCCAAAGCATCAGGGACAAGTCCTCCTCCCAGTGCTAGGAATCACACAAGTAGACAAAACCATATTACTGTCACACATATATAGAGGGCCTAGGTCAGTCTTGTCAGGCTTCTTAGTGATCAGTCCAATGTCTGTGAGCAACTATGAGCCCAGGTTAGCTGTCTCTGCAGGTTCCCTTGTGATAACCCTGGTCCTCGTGGCTCCTATACTCCTCTCTCACTCTCTTCAACAGGATTCTCAGAACTAGGGGAAGTGCTGAGCTGTGGAACTCTGTATCTACTTCCATTAGTTTGTAGTTGGAGAGTTTCTCTCCAGCTCCCGCAAACCCCCACCAGTTCCGGAGCCCACTTATAAAATAAACATACCGACTCTTATATTATTTAAACTGCTCGGCCATTAGCTCAGGCATACCATTGTTTAGCTCTTACTCTTATACTAAGCCCAATTTTGTTAATCTATATGTCCCCACGTGTTCCGTGGCTTTAGCTGTTGCCTCTACATGATACTTCCTGGACCGTAGCTGGTGTCTCCCCTCCCTGCCTTCTTGTCCTTTTCTTTTTCCAATCTGTTAGTCCCGCCTATACTTCCTGCCTGGCTACTGGCCAATCAGTGTTTTATTTATCAAACAATCATCCACAGCATTAGTTACTGGACAAAGGTTCTCCAGTGACAATTAGGATAGTCACCAATCTGATTACAGGAGATGGCCAGTTCAGGCACCCACTCCACTGTCTCCACTTTTAGATTCCTGGGAGTTTCCCTTGCACCAGGTTTCTACCCTGACCATAAAATGTCCTCCCCCCTGCATCAAGACATTTCTTTCACTACTCACGCTTTTTATCCTACCCCAGCCCTAACCTTAGTGTTCCCATCACTGTCTGCCCCAGTTTACCCAGGAGATCTCTTCTATTTCCCCTCCCCAGAGAAATCCATACATTCCTGTTTGTAACCTCCTTGTTACCTAGCCTCTGTGGGACTGTGGATTGTAGCATGTTTTTCCTTTACTTTACAGCTAATATCCACTCATGAGTAAGTACATACTATGTTTGTCTTTCTGGATCTAGACTACCTCACTCAGTTTGATTTTTTTCTAGTTCCACCCATTTGCCTGCAAATTTCCTCATGTCATTTTTTTGAGAAACCACCATATTGATTATCAGAGTGGCTGTACAAGTTTGCAGTCCTACCAGCAGTAGAGGAGTAATCCCCTTGCTCCACATCCTCTCCAGCATAAGCTGTCATTAGTTTTTTTTTTTAAGATCTTAGTCATTCTGACAGGTGTAAGATAGAATCTCAGAGTCGTTTTGATTTGCATTTCCTTGATGGCTAAGGATATTGGACAATTCTTTAAGTGTCTCTTGGCTATTTGAGATTATTCTCCTGAGAATTCTCTATTTAGATCTGTACCCCATTTTTAAATTTGATTATTTGGGTTTTTTTATGTCTAGTTTCTTGAGTTCTTTATATATTTTGGAGATCAGCCCTCTGTCAGATGTGGGGTTGAAGAAGATCTTTTCTCATTCTGTAGGCTGCTGTTTTGTTTCATTGACAGTGTCCTTTGGTTTAAGAACCTTTTCAATTTTGTGTGGTCCCATTTATGAATAATATACTAGTCAATCTACTGGTGTCTGTGCTATTGATGTTCTATTCAGGAAGTTGGCTCCTGTGTTAATGAATTCAAGGCAACTTCCCAATTTCTTTTCTATTAGTTTCAGTGTAACTGTATTTATACTGAGGTCTTTGATCCACTGGACTTTGAGTTTTATGCAGGGTGATAGATATGGATCTATTTGCATTCTTCAACATGACCACATCTAGTTATGCCAGCTCCATTTGTTAAAGATTCTCTCTTTTTTCCATCATAATTTTGGCTTCTTCTTCAAAAATCAGGTGATCATAGGTGTGTGGATTTATGTCAGGGTCTTTGACTCAATTCCATTGATCCATCTGCTTGTTTTTATGCCAATAGCATGCTTTTTTTTATTATTATAGCTCTGAAGTACAGCTCAAAATCAGAAATGGTGATACTTCTGAAAGTTCCTTTATTGTTCAGGACTGTTTTAGCTATCCTGGATTTTTGTTGTTGTTTTGTTTCATTTTTCCATATGAAATTGAGTATTATTCTTTCAAGGTTTGTAAAGAATTGTGTTGGAATTTTGACCGTAATTGCATTGAATCTGTAGATTGCTTTTGGTAAGATGGTCATTTTTACTATGTTAATCTTACCAATCCATGAGATGGGAGATCTTTCCATCTTCTCCAATTTCTTTCTTCAAAAACTTCAAGTTCTTGTTATACAGGTCTTAAACTTGCTTAGTTAGAGTTACCCCCAAGATATTTGATGTTATTTCTAGCCACAGTGAAGGGTGTTTTTTCTTCATTCCTTTCTCATACCCTTTATCATTTGTATATTCGAGGGCTAATGATTTTTTTGATTTAATCTTATATTGAGCCATGCCATAGAAGGTGTTTATCAGCTGTTGGAGTCCCCTTGCAGACAGTCTTGTCTTGCTCCTGATTTTAGTGGAATTGTTTTGAGTTTTCCTTTGTTTAATTTGATGTTGAAATCTGCTTGCTGTATATTGCTTTTATTACGTATAGGTGTGTTCACTATATCCCTGATCTCTCTAAGACCTTTATCATAAAGACTTGCTGGATTTTGACAAACACTTTTTCAGCATCTATTGAGATGATCATGTGGCTTTTTTCTTTCAGTTTGTTTATATGGTGGATTACACTGATAGATTTTTTTTGTATGTTGAACTATCCCTTTATCTCTGAGATGAAGTCTACTTGATCACGTTGGATGATCTTTTTGATATGCTCTTAGATTGAGTTTGCCAACATGTATTGAGAATTTTTTGCATCAAAGTTCATGAGGGAAATAGGTCTATAGTTTTCTTTCTTTGTTGAGTCTTTGTGTGGTTTTTGTACCAGGGTGACTTTGGCCTCATAAAAAGAATTTGGCACTATTCTTTCTATTTCTATTATATGGAATAATTTGAGGAGTATTGATATTAGCTCTTCTTTGAAAGCCTGGTATAATTCTATGCTGAAACCATCTGACCTGGGTTTTGTTTGGTTGAGAGACTTTTAATGGCGGCTTCTATTTCCTTAGGGGGTTATAGGTCTATGTAAATTGTTTAATCTGGTCTTGTTTTAGTTTTTGTATATAGTACCTATCAAGAAATTTGTCCACTTCTTTTACATTTTCCAAATTTGTGGAGTACAGGTTTTTGAAGTATGACTGTGGTGATATTTTATTTGCATGTTAATAAATAAAGTTTTCCTGGAGATCAGAGGACTAGCAAGCCATAAACAAAAGTCAGGCAGTGGTAGCACAGGTCCTTAATCTGATCACATGGCTGGCAGAGTCTCTCCGTGTTCAAGGACACACTAGGGAACAGCCAAGCATGGTGACACATGCCTTTAATCCCAGTACCAACCATAGAGACCTGGAGGTCTATATAGACAGGCAGTGACAAGGAAGTGAGGTAACTGAGCTAAGAGCCAATGAGGGGGCAGAACAGCAAGGCAATAAAAGCCTGGGTAGACAGGAAGTAGCTCTCTTGGGAAGCTACGGCAGCATGGTGAGTTAAGGTTAGCTGGTGGCTCTCACTATTTCCCTGATCACTAAGGCTTTCACCCCTATATTTGACTCTGTGTTTCTTATTTAATAAGATGGTTTAGAAATTTGTTTCCATTTTATTGATTTCAGCCCGTGGTTTGATTATTTTCTGCCATCTACTCCTCTTAGGTTTGCTGGCTTCTTTTTGTTCTAGAGCTTTCAGATGTGCTGTTAAGTCACTAGTATGGGACTTCTACAACTTATTTATGCAGGCACTCAGGTCTATCAACTTTCCTCTTAGCACTGATTTCATTGTGTCTCATAACTTTGGGTATATTGTACTTTCATTTTCATTAAATTCTAGGAAGCCTTTAATTTCTTTCTTTTATTCTTTCCTTCTTGGCCCACTGTTAATTCAGTTGAGAATTGTTTTGTCGTTTGGGTTGTGGTTGAAGTCCAACTTTATCCCATGGTGATCTGGTAAGATACAGGGGATTATTCCCATTTTTTGTATGTGTTGAAATTTGTTATGTGATCAAGTATATGGTCAATTTCCAGAA